CTCTAGCACCCACCCCCATCCTTGTGGGCCTGGATAGCAGAGTATCAATCTTGGTATCCCCCAAAGGGTTTCATACAGAGAGGTCAATACACATTATTTAAGTAACCATTTCCCAGGAACACTGCTAAAGATAATAGTCATGGATCTCATTACTAACAGTACTGTACTTCAAGTATATTATTGATTTAAAAGGCTTTGTTAAATTTGTCTGCAGACCTGAACATCGCTTAAGACTTTTTTTATGGATAAATGTAGGTTTTAAAGTAAACTTTTATACTACAAGCCAACTGTCAGCTAAAAAAACAACTGTATGTACTGTGTCACCCAGCCTAGGAAACACATCTGTGTGAAAAACAGAAGTGTCAATCAATCATGAAGAAGAATCCAAATATTTGATTTTATGGCATCTTGCAAACAATATTTAATAATTTTATCCTTGAAACTTAAGCCAGATGGCATTTTCTACATAAACAGAAGCAGTGGCTACTTAGAAAGAACTTTGCCTCAAATATTGTTTAAGGTCTCTTGACAAATATTTCAAAGTAGAATGTGTTTGTATTCCCACAACTCTAGTTATTAGCTGTGTTCAGAAACAGGCATTATAAGAATGAACTATACAGCCTGTTGGGAGTCTATGCTTCAATTTCCAGCAAATTTACGGTTTATATTTTGCAAAGTTAAAGATGAGGATATTGATAAATGACTATTATATTTTTAATACAACAGTTTTTGAAGCATGAATATGTAACTTAAAATACCTGTAATGATATGTTGTATTGAAAATAATTCACAAAACTTAGACATGCAATTGGCCTGCTATGAGAAACCCACTGCTCAAGTCACCTGTGGCAGATACCTTTCCATTTTGTTAGCGTATGTGTATCTTGGGAGTGAGCATGCCCATGCAGAAACCAGAAGACAGATTTGGCACTGTTCCTCAGGAAGGCTGGTCACTTCTTCTGAGACAGGCTACATGAGTTAGACTGTGTGGACAGGAACCTTTCTGTCTGACCTCCATCACTAGGATGGAAGGCCTGAAACACCATGGAACCTCTTACATGCATTCTTGGAAATGCTTTATGCACAGTACTGCTCACCTAGCCCCAAACTTCCAAGGGCCACTATAAGCACAGCAATGTCTGACAATGTTAGCCTTCTTAGGACTGCCCCCACCACAGTCTGAAAGTCAACCTGAAACTTAAAGCTATTTTCTGCTGTTAGAATCACAGTGAACCATTTACTGTGGATGGGGGTGGGGTGGGAGACGAGTTTCTCTTGAATTAAGACAACATAAAGGTGCCCTTCAATTTGGTCTTTTCCAAGCCTCCCTTTATCCTTAGAACCATGCCCTCTTTAGAGAGAATACACAGCTTCAGAAGAATCAAGAAATGAAAACATACTTCCTAATTCTATCTAGGGCCACCCTTCTTAATATGCCCTAATATCAAAGTGGGTCACAGTGTTCCTGAACTCAAAATACTGACTTCAGACAGACTTCTCTATTTTCTTCCTGTGTGACTTTAAGCAGGAAAAAACTGTGAATATTTGTTTTCATGTTTGTATATAAAGGGCATTAGTTATGGCTTCCCCATAAGGAGAGTGTAAGACTGAAAAAGTATTTTCAGTATGTTTAAGACAGTACCTAGCTTAAATAAGTGTGGCCTATCATAATTATTTTGTTCATTTAAAGAAGACAAAATAAACATTCTGATTTATAATGAAAATATTCTCGTGTTCTCTGTAAGTCTAAATGAAACATTTAATAATATTTTAGTGTTGTTGATGATAGGGTTTCCTGAGAAGTCCTAAATCCATAGCCTGTGACATATTTTCATAACCTTGATGATGAGTTTGTTTTGATTAACTTATTAAGTATGAAATTGTGAAATGTGTTTCTACATGCAAGAAATATGTCATTTTGAACTGAAACAGATTCCTAAGCTAAGGATGCAAGAGTTTTATTTTTGCCTTTCCCCTTCTGCTTTAAAAGCTGGGGGCAGAGGCTGTCTTCCATGCATCAGGCCTGTGCTACATTCTGATCCTGCAATCTTCTTATACTTACTAAGCGTTACACCAATTAACAAGCACGGTAGTTAATCTCTTTATGTCATTAAATTGCAGAGTAAAATCAAGTTTAATTCAGCCTATGGAAAAGGCATTTTAAAGAGACTACAGTATTGGCTTGGCTCACATGGATCGAAAGACCCTTTCTGACATACTTGGTTTTCTTCCTTACAGAGTACACCTTAGTAAAGAGCTAGGAACACTATATATCTATGAAGGAAGAGAGAAAAATTTATATATATATGAGAATGACTCTGGAGATACTTGTGGTCTGTGACTAAAAAAGTCTCAAAGCTGCTCTGTTCTGTAAAGATTATTTTATCACCCTGGGAGTAATATGTCCATAAAATCTTACCTTAAAAAATACTCAGAATTTCAAAAATCTTACATATGAGCCACGCTTTCTTTGCACACTCTGAAGGCCGTGTGAAATCAGCAAGCATTGTGCTTTTGTGTAAATGTTACTTGATGACTGTGTGACTATAAGAAACCATAGAGAGTAATATGAAATAAATAAAATATCTCAGCCTTCACTGTCTACCTTAGAATACATATGAGATAATTTCCCATTCACTTAAATTTTATCATAGTAACTAGCCAATAAGAGACTGTAAGTTTCAAGGAATTAATCAAAGAAAAGACAGGCACTGGGATAAAATTAAATATGTTTTGTGGGTTTCCGAGATTGCCTGTAACATGATATATGATCTATTTTCCTAAGATGTATACAGGTGCAGTGATCTCTGTACAAAAGCAGTAAAAAAAAAAAAAGTCATACATTTTTTTTCTCAAGAAGCAAACTACTTTTCAGTGTTCCATAGACTTAGCCCTTTTTAAACATTCAGATAGTCTACCAAAAATCTGATCAGATATGCCTTTATGTTGCCAAAAAATGTGATTGAATCCGCAATCTGCATTTTTCTAGCAATCTTGTTCTTGAACATCTTAGAAGAGCAGGTTGTGCCCCCACCACCACCAAAGGCGTCAGCAAGGATGCTTTAAGAGCCAAGTCAAAAGCACTGATGAAGTGATAATTTCCTCCTGTCTGTCTGACCAGTCAGAGGACAAAGGATCATACTTACAGCACTTAATTTGGGATAAGGGTGAAGTGGACCTAAAAACAATCCCCACTGAGGCATAGATTGACTCTCTTCAGGAAAGGTGGGTGGGCACAGGAGGATGGAGACACAGCATGCAGTCAAAATTGTCAAGTGGCAGGCAGCAGAGTCATTTTCTGTAGTCTGTGAGTAGGGGTTTGTGTAAGAGGGACACTTAGTGGGGGACACTAAGCTGGAAGGGAAAGGTGAAGATTGGAGGAGAAAGAACACAAAGAGAACTGCCAAGTGGCTCATCCCTTTCTCCAAAAGTTTGAGGAGTGCTCAAGAAAGGAGAAGAGTGTACTGGATGGGACCCTGTTTGTCATGAGCAATGGCTGTGAACCCAGAGGTACTCCATGACAAACAGGCTCACAGGGGCGGCTTTGTGTGTGAATATAAACACTTCGAGGTGACCTCCGCATTCAGAGGGGAAGTGAGTGAGTTATTCCCATACTGAATCATCTATATTCTCAGGGAGTTTTTATAAGCACAAATAAGCCCCTCACTGAAAACAGCACCTGAAGCAGCCAAACTAAAACATGTTTACATGCACAATGGGCCGAACGACTGAACTCGTAAAAGTTCTGGTTAATTTAAGCACAAAGAATTCTCTAGTCTAGGTTTCTAAATGTTTTACTCATATATTAAAAGATAACTGTGGGACACTTTTTTATTTATTGATGGACCTTGCAAATGTACTTAATGGGTGAAATCCATAAAACTTTACGATATGAACAATTTTAACATATTATTCTTTTTGAATTCTTTGCCGTGAGTCACTGACAGGTAAAACTTCAGACATTTGACCAAAATTGATTATTTGCTAATTCTATGAAAAGTGCTATCACTGGTGAATAATCTAAAGGGAGGTCTATCCTATACAATGCTAGACATCTGAAAATAATAACAGTAAAATGCTTACTTTTCTTTTGAGTTTGGCTTGAAAAAAATCAGAGTGTCAACAAAACCCCAACCAATCAATAGGAAAAAATTAGAAATGTGAAGTGCTATTTAAAATATTGACATTATTGCATGACTTGATTGGATGAAGTGTTAAACCTGCATGCAATTCCCCCCCCCCCGCCTGGCTGTGCATATTAAAATTCCCCAGTGTTAATCTTATCTGTGTTATTCTTTACTGTTAAAACACTTGTGGGGTCATAAACGTCGCATATATGGCGTGTTTATGCACATTGTCTCTTTTTATGAATGGATACAAATAAATGCTCCTTATCTGGGATAATAGATGGCAAGATACTATCTTGAAAAGGTTCCTTAAGTCTCGGGAGCAAATGAAGCAGATATTGGTGTCTTTCGGTGCCACTCAGGGCAACTATACTCCCAAGTCTCCTTGACATATTGTATTGGAAAAAGCTTTGGAGCGCTTTCCTTAGAGACTGGTTCTAGCTTGCTCCCAGGAACCAAGACCGCTCACCACTGAGGAATAAGATGTATCTCTGTATTCTGAGGACTGTGCATACACAGGGATATCACACTCCCTAAATCTAGTCCGACAAGTGTGTGCTTGCAAGAGTGGCATTCACCAACAAGCGATCAGGAAGAGAAGGCAACCGGGGCTCCTTTCTTACACACAACAGTTTCATCTTTTTGGTCAAGTCAGGCTTGTCAGGGGCTCATACTTGGTGTCTTCCCCACCAGGAAGAAGCCTTTCCTTAGTAATCTGTCAGGGCTAACAACCCAGGCAGCTTTGTTTGTAAGTCCACTGGGAGCCATATGGCAGTTTCCAGTTCCTTTAGCAACTCAAGTCTGACTAGGCTGCCACAGTGAAGCATCTCTAAAGAAGAGCTCCTGGAGAGCAGCAATGCCCGGGCCACTTACCTAGCTCCCACGGACCCAGCTTCGGTCGGCCAGCAGCTCTGGCTCCTGTGCCACAAGAGGCTGTGGGATTCCCTGCTCTCTCAGAGGACTCCTCTCCTGCAAAGGTCCCTTTCGCCAATGGTGTTTCGCTGGAAATCCCCCTCCCCTCCACTGAGAGGGGGGTCTCCCCGGCTAGCTGGAGCTCCTGGAAGCTTTCCTTCCTTCTTTACATCCCTCACTCCGGTTCGCAGTCTCTAGTAAGAAGGTTCACAGAAGCCGCATTGGGAAGAAGCGAAGGCATCCTTTAAAAAGAACAATAATCTTCCTCGATCGTCACCCCCTTTCCCTGCGTGGAGCCACCATCCCCCTGCCGCCGCCACCGCCCAGACCAGAGAGGGTTGGAGTGAAGGGAGAAAAATCAAGAGGTTCTCCGAGAGCCGCACCAACCCCGGACTTGTCGCTGGATCCCGCTGCCCGAGGCGCGGCGGCGGCCAGCGGGGGCGGCGGGTGCTCGGGGGCACTCGGTGGAGCTGGGTGGGTGTGTGTCTGTGCAGCAGCGACGCTGGCTCCGCGCAAGAGGCCAGGCGGGGCGCTCCGGTCGCGGGTCCTCCGCTCCGCAGCTCTCCGGCCAGGCGCGCACACTCGCCCGCGGCTACCCAGCCTCGCGCTCCGCCTCCCGCGCTCCGCGCACCCGCGGGCAGAGCTGCCACCGCCGCCTCTCCGTGTCTCCTCCTCCCGCGGCTCCCAGGCAATCGCGGCTCCCAGGGGTGGCGGCGGGGATGCACTGCTGGCCAGGCACCTCGGGGAAAACACCAGGCTCGGCCTCGCGGCGCCGGAGCTGTGCGCTTGGCGGGCGACAGCGCCCCCGGTGCCCAGGGCGCGGCCTGGGCGCGGACGATTGGGAGCCGCCCACACCTCGCCAGGATCCTCCCTCGGCTCCCGCCGCGGTCTTGGTCCGGACTCCACACCCACCTGTCTCTCTTGGTGGCTCGCACACAGACACACTCTGCAAGCCCGGCCCGGCGGCAACCACACACACGCGGCCGGGGAAGCCCTGGGAAGCCCGCCGAGATGCTCCCGCGGCTTCATGGATTTCCCGGCCTTTCTGTTCCATCTGCTGTGCTCTCCTGCTGCCCGACCCCTAAACGACCAGAATCAGGGCTCCTTGTTCCACCATGGGGAACTGGTACGAGGACATACAGCTTCGGAAGGATGGACACGGAGTATTTTCCCACAAAAGAAGTTTCTGGGATAGAAGAGAGCTCAGGTGCAATCTGACTCCACTTCTGTATCCTCCAGCTCTATTCAGTCCGAGTCACTGGCCTTTCTGTGTTTGAGGCTAAAGCTGGGTGGGAGGCAACTTTGACTCTTGTTTCCCACAGGGGTGCTATTCAAAACCTGGTTTGCTTGCTGTAGTGGTCTGTTTACTGTGTGAGATACTGTGCCAAATTCTCCCTTAAAGAAAGGGCCATAAGCTAGATACCCCAGGCCCCTTCTCAACTTTGGAGTATAATAAAGATAATAAACTTGAACAAAATTCCTAGGCTCTGCCACTTTCTGACATAGGTGCACCTTGATGGGTGGAAAATTAAGCAGTCAAAACAGCTGCATGTCTTTCAGGAAAAGACATAGCTTAAAATATTCTTTCAAACAGAATTCAGGGCATGAGAATATATTCAAAATTGGGACCCCCCCAACATTACTTATGGCCAAGACTATCTAACTACTGTGTTTCAAACACATCTAGTCCTATGAACAGGGGATGGCTGGCGTAGCCCTCTGGAATTCTGTCTTGAACTCCTGCCTTTCTAGGGCTTACCTTATCTTTTTGTGCTGTCAGACATTGCTAGATGTTTACTCTGAGAACTGGTTCTTCTGACTCTATAATTCTCCATTAAGAAACTTGCCTTGGCTCCTCTTTCCTCTTCTTGGGGCTTCTGAAGTGTGAGCACCAAGAAGAGAACGCCTGGATTCTAAAACCTTTATCATTATCCTGGCCAGTACCGAAGCGCCAGCTCTAAATGTCCAGGAGCTTGCAGGAAGTGCATTCCCTTGCCCACAAAGTTTACATTTTTCTGCAGGCAACATGTCTCCAGAACAACCCTGAAGCG